TTAGATTTCCGTAAATTCTTCTCACCCTGTTACGAACCGATTTGCCAAAAGAAGGTAAAATCAAAAGGCCGGAAATCTGAAGATTTTTTCACGAAGACAACAAAGTATTCCACAGAATTTAGGATCACTATTGTAGCACAACGTTTCTATGGAGTGCATCTGGGGGTGTATCCCAAATAAAATCCAGTGAAGATATATTGTGCAGATCCAAGTCCGAGGATGACACGGACCGCGTGGTCGAATTCAAAGGCCCCGCAAAATCACCTGGCAACAACCAACAATATTCCTCTCGCGTACACACTAATCCACTGATATTCATTCAGCAAGATCACACTGACCCTCGTATATGTCCTATCCGTTAACCCCACTTACCATGTTCCGCTCCATTTACAGCTACCACTCAAACCAGCACCACACCTCAGACTACAACTGATGAGGAAGGTGAGTAAACTGACAACCAGAAAGCGCTCACAAAAATACTAACAAAGTAACAACTGCGAACAAGTTGAGCAAATTTCCGGAATGAATGAAATAGATTTTTATCAACCGAATATACACTCTTCGCCTTCTGTTTATACAACACACACCTCTAAATTCGTTCCACCAATTGTTCTGTAGCACATACCACTTATTGGAACATGACCCATTGACGAATTTCTGCATCTTCTGTGTTAAATACAAACATCATTTCTATTTACATGTTCAATAATGCATAATTTCCTTCCGCAAAACAAATATTGCAGGTTCAGATTGCATCATCCCACCACCAGACGACGGTAAGCGTTTTAAACTGATGTCCTTCCCAATGTTTTATCATATTCCGTGTGCGCTGATCATCTCATAGCACAAACCGAATAAATGGAAGCTGTTCAATTGACGGGTAAACCGACTCACTATCAATTATACCTGAACACGAAACACAGTCCATTACAATTGACTAGTGTTCATTAATGTCTCCTTGTTCACTCTTGTCCTAATTTCACGCATAATTCCGAACCCAGATAATACTGTGTTAGCATTTACGTGTGTGTGTGTGTGTATGGTTATCGAGCATATTGATAACGCAAGATCACCGCAAATCGTATCCAGACCAACCAAATGTCCCTTCTGACTTCTGAACCCACGCTTTAGAATGCGCGGGTTTTGGAAATCAAATGCATGTCTTTCGCACATTGCGCGACCAGTGATTGCGGAATTGTGTTCCACTCGATTCCAACCTGCTGCGTCACTTGGAATCTTTTTCATTAGACGCATGTGTTCCGTCATTCGTGTGTCCAGGCTTCTGGACGTTATGTCGACATACGTAACAGGACAGTCGAAACAATGTATTCTATAGTCTACGTCAGAAGTGTCCCCTTTTGCACGCGAGTCTTTGTGGTTGCCTAGTTTCGAGAAAAATTGGGTTGGTGTTTTTGAACACAACCTTCGTATTTACACAGTTAGGTATCCGCCGTCTTCGGATGTGCTACGGAACCACAACAGTTGACAAACGGTCGTCATTTTGGCGTAGTTGACTGATGTTCCAACTTTTGATTTTCTCGAATAACTCCTTCTGATACTCATTATCTTCTAGTTCGTTAGTAATCCGGTTCATCTCTTGACGTTTATCCTTTTTGTTGGTTACTAGTTTCCGAGCTCGAGAGATTAGGCCAACTTCTACTGACACCTTGACATTGGTCGAGTGGTCAGCATGGAAGTTGAGGTACGTCCTGTAGGTCCCAAGACATGACGCATGCTTAACCGTATCAATATGAGGGTTGTGCTCGAAAACACTAGCACAATTTACTTCAACACAGCTAACATATTCTATACATTACATTGTTTCGACTGTCCTGTTACGTA